ACACCTTTGCAATAATCATGCTGTCTAATCAACATCTTGATATGCCACACTTGTGGGGTGGATAGATTATCTCGACAAAGGAGAAGTGGTCACTAACACAGATTTAGACAGATTTGTGAACAATATTTGAGAGAAATAGGCCTTTTGTGTACATAGAAAAAGTCTTAGATCTTTGAGTTCAGCTCATGAAAATTGGGGGCAAAAACAAGTTTTGCATTTATAATTTTGTTCAGTGTATTTGAACGTATATTTTAAAATGTCCTTTTTTTTCTTATGCATAATTATACTTTTGTGGGCGGAGAAAATGTTTCTCCTTTTTTCTAATGTACCCTTTTCCCAAGTTGAGTTTCCCAAGTTTTTTCCCCAAAAGTTCATAATGTATAAAATAATATATCAAGGATGATCAATGCTCCTGACAAAAATATCATTCTGCTTTTATTTCATCCACATATGTGCTGATTTGACTAGTAATCTGAAAATCATTCGAGGAAACAGTCCATTAGCTGGATAACACAGAGTGATCAAAAGGACCAATGTTACACAACAGCAGGAAGATAATATATGTAACCCCTGGTCTTTCTGTTTACAGATTTGAGGTTGACTTTCAACAAGCAGTGAGAAGAAATTGTTATTGTGTTATAAGCAATTTATGTAAGTTTTTTGGTTCATATACCTGTATGATATTTCCTATATCAAAAATGTTGAGTGTTTTGTTGCACCTTTCAATCAATAGGAGCAGTTTTTAATTGTTATCTTCAGCCTACCAGGTTTTCAGTTCACTAAAAGGGCATTTCAGTTTTTAGAAACCAAGACTGAGCCTTTGGTGGATTTTAATTAACGAAAAGATATGAAATCCAAAATTTGCACTCATATCAAAGAAAGACAGAATTATTATCAGAAGGCTTTCCTTCGCAGCTGACAGGCAGTCTCCATGCATCTGTAAAATAAATTAAAAAATGTTATTAAATAAAAAAATAATAATAATATATGTATATATATTTTAGATAAATATACATATATTATATCTATATATAATATGTATGTATATATCTTATATATAACGTCATACTAAGTGTATTTTCTTATTAATATAAACATATAGTAATATAAAAATACACTTGGAGTAAAATTACACACGTGTATATATTTATATATAATATATATAATTATTTATATTGTATATATCATTATATTTTATTCTAACTGTATTTTGATATATATATATATATATAAATATATATATTTATTTATATCAAAATACACTTAGAATTAAATTATATATATATCTATGTATATATTAATAAATAAAAAAATACTATATATATATATACATATACACACACATAATTACATAAATAATTTCATGAATATACACGTAGACTTCAAATATATAAATATGTATATATATTTAAATTCTACGTGCATATTTATGTAATTTTTATATATATTTCTTTTTTAATAGATTTTTCAGAAAAAAGGGATACAAACATATCTTAACACAAAGAATTCCAATATCATATTGAATAACATAATAATATTGTAATACTACAATATAAAGAATTATTTTACATTCTTATCTTAATAGTATCTTTATTATATTGACAATCCCTTTTATTTGTTAAATGTTGCTTGGTTGCAACGATACCAGAACAAAATTAAAAAAGAAAAAAAATACTTCTTATTTCTTGGAGACATCTTGTTTATAATGTTTTACCCGTTACTAAAAATGTTGTCTACTATGAGAATTTTAACTTAAAACCCTTTACTCTCACCTATTGTTTAATTTCTAGCATCACTAACCAATCCCAGAATGTTCATATTACTTATTCTAGCATTGAATTCTTTACAAACCTCCCCTTTATAGCCATATAAGGATATAGGTTGTCTAGCTGCTACTTCATATCTACCCACATGTGAAATATAATTTATAAGTTCCGATATAGAAGGAACCTTAGTTTTTAACCATTTTTTTGCTGTTAAAGATAGTGCTGCTATA